TTTTTTTTTTCTTTTTTGGTATGTACTAGGGATTAAACCCAGGGCCTTGTGCAAGCACTCTACCAACTGAGCTATATCCCTAGCCCAAGACTCCATTTTTAATTCAGTGTTCATAAGAGCATATCTAGCCTGAGAGACGCTCAAGACTTTTATATGTTTGGTAATATGCTCATTAATTAAAAAAATATATCTGTAAAAAGACCTATCATCTTTCTACCTATGATTAGAAAAATATTCATGTTTATTGTAGAAAAGTAAGAGAGTACAGATTTTTCTGAGGGGAAATATTTTTCTTACAGTCTTATCACCTATAAATTGCTATTTTTTTGAAATTTAGGGTGTAGTATATTTTCTAAATGTTAACGCATATATCTACCACCTTATACATACAGCGTGGCGCCATGCTTTATATACTGCTGTGTGTTCTGTTTTTTGAAGACATATTGTAGGTAAACTTGCAATTGAGTGACTTTTCTTCTGAAAATCATTTTCATCAGTGTACTAGTATTACCTAGTCAGATTTGCCCTGCTTGTTTAACTGATTGAGATTATATGTATAAAGTACTTAATGCATGTCTTCATGTACCATGATGATGCCACAATTACCGTTCAGATATTACTTATATCATTTATCAATAAGCGACTTCATTGATTTCCAGATAAATGATACTTATCACTTCAAAACCAAGATTTTTTTTAACTGCTTACAAAAATTTGGGTACATATAGTATTCTTCCTTGTCTTAAAATGTATTGTTATATGTAAAAAATATTGCATATTTATATATAATCACGAACAGCTGGAGGTACTGTGTGTAGCTTACCTGAGTCAAAGAGCAGTCTAATGGTCCAGATTCCCCCTAGTAAGTCTGTTCATGGCAATGTGAAATCATTAAAGTGGATGGATGCTTTAGCTCCACCAGTAACTTATCAGGTGGTCTAATAGAGTGTGACCATTAATTAAAGTTAGTAATTTAGGAAGACTGGGCTAGGGGGCAGCAAAGAACCACAACAGTGTCTTCCTTCTAAACTAACTATGATCTTCCTCTCCCTTAATCCAGCTCTGCCTGGGATGAGGCTATTCCACTTGCCTATTTCCTGATACTTTGAGGAACTTTAACAGGGAGAGGCAGACTGGAATAAGATAAGAAAGGGATAAGAGAGTAGTAATTCCAGAAACAATCATTAGTAAGCATTAAGGCTTTGCCTTTTTCTCTCTGGTTTAACCCCATAACTATAGACTGGTGCACTGACATATGGTGTGAGAACACCCTTCTAACTGCTAATATATGGGTGTGAGGCCACTGTCTTCAAACTAAACAGACAGAGGCAATTCCCCATCCTTGAATTAGTGCTAGGAGAGCAGATCTGGGACAGGGGGCTCTTACCTGTCCCTCAGTGTTTGCTGCATGGTATTTGAAACCTGAGGTGCAACCCTCTCTTCCTCTGTTTACCAGCTAAATGTGGCACTTTACTTCACTTCGATGTTCACTTTAACATATGTGTTCATAAGATGGGCACAGGTGTGCTTGTGCACAGAGCTGCCAAGACACTACGCAATTTTAGGTACATGAAGAGCTTAGTGAGGGGTTTAATACATAGTGAGGACTCTTGTGATACCATACATGGTACTTTTACCCATTTTCTCATTTCATTTGTTCCATTGCTTATTATATCAAGAACATATTTTGGTTTATGTCTCATTTAAAGCCTAGAAAAATTGAGTTGAAAGGACCATTCCTAAAAGGCAAGGCCTGGAAATACTAGGATTTCATTATCAAAAAATAAATTTTGTATTTAATGATAAAAAGGACCTATTTTGTATTGTATTTAAAAACTTTTTTGAAGATGGTATATTCATTTTTTCTTTTCTTTTTTTTGAAATGTATAACCTTTGAGTCTTTATTCCATTGAGTATTATAAATCACTCATTAATAAACACACACATACACATACACATGCATACATTTGTCTTTCAGAGAAAGTTTGGAATGGTCACGCAAATTTACTAAGAGAATAGGAAAAAAGGTTGTAGTACGGTATTTTAGAAAATATATTTAACCAGTGTAAATAGACCAGAGTGACATTTAATGTGAGAAATCACAATTTTTATTGCATGATGTGTACATATTCTTTGCACAATTATGCTGATTCCCATCCAGGAAAATTTTTGGTGAAGTAAAATACTCATCTGCATTAACAATGTCCTTGAGGACATGCTGTGGGCACTGTAGAAGTTTACCTGCATCCCATTCTCTACCCACTAAATGCCAATAGAAGCTCCCAACAACTAGTTATAACAATCAAAGACACTCTCCACTGTAGTCCAATGTGCACAGACCCACAGTGCGGCTTTATCTATTATTAATGGAATCAAATGTTTTGAAAATATTATCAATACTAAATTTAACATTTCTATTTGAAAATTAACATCCAAATTATGTAAATTGGTAGTTATCCCATCATTACAAGTGTTTTTGGAAAGTTGTGACATATTAAAGATAATTATAAAGATTTACTTTATTCTTAGTGTTCATTGTGATATCCCTGCTTGATAAGGCATTCCTGATTGTTTTCGGTTTCTTCCCAATTTCTTAAATTGATGTGAGAGTGAATGGTGATAACACATGTTTCTGTCTTGTGTGAATTTTCTGATAAAAGAGAACAGGTCACTTTTCTTAGGAAATCCATGAACTGAATTAGCTACTGTGGGCTACAAACAGAATGCACACAATGGCTCAGCACAGCAGGATTTATTTCTCACACTCTTAAAGTACAAATGGAGGGGATCTGGATAGAGGTGGGAAGATCTCTGCTCTTTCCAATCAGTTCCTTTTGTCTTACATCATAGTTCCCTTCTCCTGCCTTTGGCTCCCAAGGCTACCCTGAGGGGTCATCTTCACTTCAGATCTAGAGGGCAAGAGACCTCAGGAAGAGCTGCATGGAAGTTTTTGTGTGGCCCTCTTAGATTTTCTTAAAATAGCTTTTGAAAAATTTAAGTAGCATCCTGTTTGGAGGAGAAAAGGCAAAAATATGAGAAGTAAATACAACTGAGCTTTCTTTTGATTTAAACTGTATTTTATACTTGATAATACCAAGGAAGTTTTCAGAAGCCTATGTAGCAGATGATTTAGCCGACTTATTTTCTACAGGAAATAGAACATTTCCCTTGTATAAATTTAATCCTTCTTTTTAATAGGCAATATAATATTCCTACCAGGAAAACCTTTTCTCACAAGATCATTTTATTTGTGGAATTCTACCATTTCCTCTAAAAGTGGATCTTATGGTTTTTTTTGTACATTTTTTTGTTAACAAAAACATAATGATCTTCTGGAAGATAGTCAGCCTTACATAGCAATATCAGAAGGACAGAAAACCTACTCGGAAAGGGTTGAGGGGCCCTTGTAAATTACATTAATTTGAAAGCAAGAGTAATTCATCATGCCTGAAAACTCCCAAGTTATTTCAGTACAAATGAACTTTTATTCATAATATGTAGGCCATTTTTGTTTCATGCTCACCAGAAAATGTATTTATGATCTTTTTTTTTCTTGTTATCTTTCATTTTCAGTATTATGCAAATTCACTGTGTATCATTGACAGACACTATTAACTGTGTGCGATTCAAAGGAAATGGATATAGTGTTGTACACCAAAGAGTCTTTAGAGATAAAGGGCATGTTAATTCTCTGACCTCCATTCCACATACATGCAGGTCACTTCATACTGTATAAATTGATTTATAATAGTACTTCAAAGTTTCCCTAGAACAGACAGTTTGTATTTTTATCACTAAATGCCTGCCTAGGTTATATGTGAGGTTGCAGATGCAACCTTTGCTATCATTGCCTAAATGGAATCTATGGCTTTCTCAAGTTTTCTAGGCATAGAGTGTTGCTTATACTACTTCCACCAGCTGTATCTAATGTCAGACTTTGTCCAACCTGCCCTTGAAGAGCTGTGAACATTTATTTCATAATTAATTAATCTTTTGGAAAAATGTTGTTTCTTTGACATCAAGTACTATCCATCCAAATTTATTGCATTGTATTCTTTGGTTTTGCCATCTACTGCATCTATTTTGTACTCATTTTTATTGTTGTGATGTTACATCTTATCTGGTGTTCATTGCTTTGCATTGTTGCTATCTGATTTCTGGCTTCCTTCTGTGGAGCGTCTCATTTATTAGTAACAATTTGAACATCCTTCACTTGTTTGGCATGACAGCTGACTCACGTTTTCCATCCCTTCATATTTTTTTTTCTGTGTGGATTTATCAGAAATATTCCCTTTTTTGAAAAATTCAGGTTTTCCTTTTGATGTATTATTCTTTTAGAATTTCACTGCATAAATACTAAAGTTAATCAGATTCTTTAATTATTTTGATGTAGTGTTTGACAGCTCTGTTCTTTATAACTTGTTCTTTGTTAGTGTTCTTTGATGAAGTTCCCAACAGGTAGAAACGTATTAATATTGTGTTTCTGTTATATTAATATTCACCAAGAAATTTCATAAGGTACTCCTTTCTTTCTTTGTAACAGTAAATTAATGAGAGAAGCTTCCATTGTATTAAGTACCTAACTAGGTCATGGCACCGCGCAGAGCAGTTTATCAACAGTGTCTCTTTTAATCCTCACTGATAACCTGCAATGTAAGTTTTAACAGCAGTATCTTTCTGTAAACAGTTTCAGTGAAGCTTTGTATCAGAGAAGTTCAAGAGTCTGATTGAGGTTTGTCTGCCCCCAGACTCTGGCCCCTTTTCAGGATATGCTATGTAATGATTGTGTTCAATTTAGAAATTAAGTATTGTGTCCCTGCCATGTGCTTTTGTGTTGGTAGGGACCAAGTTTATCTCCCAGGGCTTCTAGCCAATGTCTTTCATGTGGTGGACCCTCCACATGTATTTATTGAAAGAGTGAATAAAGGTGTAGATGAGTGCTATTTTAACCAATCGTGGCATTTAAAATTCGTCTTGCCTTATTTTCTGGTTGATATTAGGACTGTGAAAATCCCAGATTCAGCTGATGGGCTTGGATTCCAGATCCGAGGATTTGGCCCTTCTGTGGTACATGCAGTAGGAAGAGGTAAGAAATTCATCTTGCTTGGTAAAGAGCTTTCCAGCATGTGTTAGATATTCCATTCAGAACGGGAATATGTTTAAAATATGCACAGTCATGTTGCTGGGAATTTTCTCACTAATCTTATTTTCACTGTATTAACTCAATGGTAGTACATTCTAGAAACAAAAATTTTTAAAAGAAATCTCTTCAGAAATTCTGATCTATTTATCCTGGATAAATGCTTATGTATAATTCAGCTTAAACCAAAGAGTATTGATGATTTTAAGGTTATATATTTGTATTTTTCTTGACTGCAAGTAATTGGGTTTTTTAATTCATTTTTCGTAATTCAGAGATATGAGTTTTGAGGCTTCCGGGTGATCTGTGGGCTCTATAACCTGTTTCTATTTAATTCCTTTAGGTGTTCTTATGAACCTTGGATACATTTCACCATAAAATGCATTTTAAATTAAATAATTATGGTGATTAAAAACTTGGTATATTATTCGAATTTTTGAAAGACAAGTCATCTATTGACATGTTGTTATGTATTTTTTTTTGTTTTACTGACACCAAGAATGGAATGGAATAACAGTTTCCACATTGCTAAACATAATAAATAACCAACTGCTGTAGCTGGAAGTATTTCTGTAAGCATGAGAAGCCATGTATTTATCTAACAAGGGGGAAATAAATACCTTTTAGTGCCGAGAAACAGGAAGCATCCTAATATAATCACTCAAACATTAGAGGGGCCATTTTAAAAGGGCCTTGCTATCAGAATAAAATTTAGTTAGACATTTATTAGATTATAAGATTAATTATTATACATATTATGATAAAAATCTGTCATACTTGAAAAACTTGTCTGTTCTCTTTTTAACACTGTTAAAAACTGTTTCAATAACTCATTCAATTTTATCAAATGGAAATGGGATATTAGATATTAAATCTCTTCATTTTCACAAACCCCCCACCCCCTCCCTCCCAAAAAAAGAGTTGTTCACATTACCAGTACTGGCAAGTCACTGAAATCCTGAGTGAATTGAGGTCTACCATCATCTAAAGAGCAAGGTTCTATCTTTGGAGATTAGTGATGAGGTTGGTCAAAGTCTGATTCTTACGCTTTTCTGCTTCTGATAGAGTCAAAAGACAAATGCTTCTGTGCTTGCCCTCTCCGGTGTGCATTAAATGAAAAGGTGTTTTTCTGGTTTCTTTTCACACTGATGTTATGTGGTCAAAGCAGAGAGGCCTCCCCAGCCTTGTTCTCACAGTGATTCACGGCAGTCAGCCCACTCTCTGCAGTGTGACCAGAGGTCCTCTTGCCTACCTACATCCGGGCCACTGGATTTCAGACTCGGATGAACCTTTCTGTCCTTTCTCCTGAACAGCTTTGTGGTTGTGGTTCCTGATGGCCTGTCTTGTCTTCACTGGGCCCCTGTTACTACTCAGCAGTTTTTTAAATGTGTTCTTCATCAGCTAGGTCCTTCTTCTTTTTCTTAAAATTATCTCCCAAGACTGACTTCTCTTTTCTTACCTCACTAATTCTGGCTCTTAGACACAAGGCCTTCAGGGTCTTCTATGTCTGTAAGGTTCAGAGGCCGAGGGCTTCGCACCAGCCACACAAGGCCTTCTCCCTGGGGCTCTCCTCTGCTTCCCCTTTCTCTCTCTTTCACACCCTCCTGCCTAGTTCTGCGCTCACACCTCCACATGTCCAGGTGATTTCTCACTCCATTCCCTCCTTCCTACTATTTTCTCTGCTGGGAATGTCCTTCCTTCCCCCAAGACTCAATTCAATGCAGAATAACTGAATAACCCCTAGATATTTTGGGGAGTGTTTTGGTCAGATTTTTCGTTGCTGTGACTAAAGGACCCGACCAGAACAACTGTGAAGAAGGAAAAGTTTGTTTAGGGGCTTAGGATTTCGGGGGTCTTAGTCCATAGAAGGCCAGCTCCCTTCCTTGGGCCTCAAGGTCAGGCAGAACATCATGGCAGAAGAGTGTGGCAGAGGGAAGCAGCTCACATGGTGATCAGGAAGAGAGAGAGAGAGAGAGAGAGAGAGAGAGAGAGAGAGAGAGACTTCATTCTCCAGATACAAAATATATACCCCCGTGCCATGTCCCAATTCCCACTTCCTCCAGTCACACCCTACCACTTAGTTTTTACAACCATTTGTGAGAATTACATATATTCTATTTTTCAGTGGTACCTTCTCAATGTTGATTTTGCTCAGACTATCCAATATCGATCACTGGAAGGTTCAGAGAAACCTTAACTCGCTGGCTAGAATATGCCATGTCTGTATTTAAATCTGTACCTATGCAAACAAAGTGATTGAAAAATTGGTAGTATCTGCTCTGTTCTCCACAGATTCTCTGGTTCCTGAACACTTATGTTTTCTTAAAACATCCAGGCTGTTCACAGTAGCTAATTGACTTGATTTTTGCCTTTAAAATTTATTTTTAGGGGTTGAAAATGTGACTCAGTGGTAGAGTGCTTGCCTAGCATATGTGAGGTTTTCGGTTCAATCCCCTGAGCCACCTATATATATATATATATATATATTTTTTTTCTTTTTTATGTTCATATTAAATTATTGACATTCTTTTAAAAAAGTGAGTTCTCTTTCAATGTTTAGGGACTCTGTAAAGAAAGATAAGCATATATGTTTCTGGCTTTTGTAGTTTTTATTACATAGATGTATATTAGGAAATTAGATTGACTAGACATTTAAAAAGGAAAATAACTGATTAGCATTTTAAAGGTCACTTTGAAATATTCCCTCAAACTAATTCTTAGGGAGGTGGGAAAATGTTTTTTAATCACAGTTTGAATGGTGAGTTAAAAAGCAGAAAAATGTTGAGACAGAATTGCTATCAGAACCGAATTTATTAGGAGTATATTAGCTAGGCCCTTATTATATTTTAAAAATTGCTTTCATTGTTCTATATATGATAAAGATGAATCTTATTCTTCAGATACATTTTTGGCAATTTTCCGCATTTGTATTTAAAGGAACTGTAGCCGCAGCAGCTGGTCTTCACCCTGGACAATGTATTATCAAAGTAAATGGAATCAATGTCAGCAAAGAGACCCACGCCAGTGTCATTGCGCATGTTACAGCCTGCAGGAAATACAGGCGACCAATGAAGGTAAACTGCTCTTCAGTTTATCTGGATCTGAAAACAAACTTGTAAAGGAGACCAAGGGGACAGCCTAGGATAGTACTGGAGATGTTTGTAGTTTCCACTTCTAAGTGAATTTAAACGCAGCATTGGAAATCCCATAGTGACTATTTTATCTGCATAATTAATCAAAGTTGACTGTGTTTAAATGGTTGTATCTTATTGTTATAGTCTTATTAGTTGCTTAAAAAGTATTGTTGGGTATTTTCATTTTCCTTTTTCCTTTTTGTGGTGCTGGGGATTGAACCCAGGGCTTTGTGCATGCAAGGCAAGCACTCTACCAACTAAGCCATATCCCCAGCCCTCATTTTTGTTTGATAAGAGTTTATCTAATTGAAATCCAAAGAATTGAGCTGTTGTCTTAGAATCACTTTAGAATATAATAATGATCATTGTGTATGTACATGTGAATTATAAATATATTGTTTATCCTAAGACTTCTGTGAAAAAGTTGAAATTGTGGGTTTTATAGAGTGTGGTTGATTTTTTTGGACATTTTTATTTAGGAAACTGGGTTAGCTTTTAAAAGAGAATGCCAAAATGTGCTTGCCTCTACTTAAAATTTAATCACTATTTTTTTTGATCCATAAGGGCCACAACGAGATGAAATTGGAATCCTAATTCATAAGCAAAGTTCATTATCTCATGAAGAAAAAGTGAAGACTGGACTATAGGAGAAAATTTCTCTCAATTTAATCAACTAGATGCAGAAGGAAATTTAGATAGGGCTTATATTTTTAATAGTCATGCGTGGTGGAATGCTCTTTTCTGGATTTGAGAATATGAAAGTGTTCTCATATTGGCGATTTTTTTCATAGGCCAGGACTGATGTTCTGCAAAATTTTGAACTTACATGGAAAGAACCGATCAATTTTGCTTACTAATAAGGTCAAAACTAGCATGGAAATTGGAATTTACACATGAACTCATAGGTTACTCTGATTGATAGTAGTTCAATAAATATTTGTTAAGAAGCTGTATGATTGAATGCATTTTCTGAAAGACTCTTTAAGAAATTATCAAATCTTTCCTCTTTATCAGTACCTTCTTGGAGGAGTGTTAATCAGTGAAATAATTTTTAAAAGGAAAAAATGGACAGAAAAATTCACTGAGTAACGCACTCTCTCAGGTATCCATTGCTATAAAATAGACCACCCCAAAACTTAGTGGCTTAAAACAACAGTGATTGATGATTTCTCTTGATTTGACTGGTTGGTGGTTCCTATGTCATTGTGTTCAACTGGGACCTTACTGGGTGCCTGGGTTCCCTTCCTCATGGTCTCTTGCCCTATGTGGCAGGTTGTCCTCCAGAGCGCCTGTGTACGGTTTCCCTTTCAAGTCTCCAGCAGGATTTCCTTTTCTGTGTGGTGTGTAGATTTCCAGAAGGAATATTACCCCCTAGTTGGATGGTACTTGCTTTTGGACACATGGAGTCACAAGGCCAAGCCAAGGTTCAGAGTGAGAAGGAACTACAGAAGGTGTGGGTATTGGAGGTGTGGCTCATTGGTGGCCACAACAAGTGACCAAGTTAGCTAGCATGCTTTTGTTTGTTTTTGGTTCTGGGGATTAAACTCAGGGCTTTTTGCTTGCTAAACACATACTCTACTTACAAAGCTACACTACATCCCCAGCTCTTAACTATCATTTTAATGATTTATAGCAGTATAATAAACATAATTGTGATGCAAGAGAAAAAATAGATTACATCACACTTCAGTAATTCAGTTAAGATTTGATTTATCATCTTATCTAAGAAAAGTATAAACCTTGAAGTAATATTACCCTTGAAGCATTTATTTGGTAGCCATTTCGTCTCTCTCATTTCTCTAAGTAAGATTGGAGCTACTGTTTCTATTAAAATACAAGATGATTTTTGACATGGAATGATTAAAGATAGTTAGAAACTCAATGAGATAAAAGATATTCTCCCAATTTTCATGTTGGTTTGATTCAAAGAAGCATTAAATGTATTAAAATAAGGTGACTATTGGGGGCATTTGAAATGGTTTGTACAGTGATAGAAAATTGATTCATTCCCAAACTGTCCATCTAACATTTGCTTATTTTTAAGATGTAATTTATAACTCATTTTAAGATATACTTGAGGCGTTTAAGTAAGACATTTGAGAAATACATCCTTTTTAAAAAATATCTTTGGAACATATCTTTGGAAGATAAATTTACATAAAACATATCTTTGGATGATAATTTAAGCTTGAAAAAAAGTCAGTTTGTTAAATCGTCATTGACTTTTCCTTCTGATGTTGATTGTCTTTCTCTTTCAAATTCTATTATTTCTAAACAAACTAGAGTAGTAAATAAGAAGGGCAACTCTTCTTCTAAAGCAAGTTTATGAAGTGGATATGAATTTTAGGATGTAGTATTCATTACCTCTGAAGTTTCTTTTCCCCCCTCATTTCCAGCAAGATTCCATACAGTGGGTTTATAATAGCATCGAGAGTGCTCAGGAAGACCTCCAAAAATCTAACTCCAAACCTCCTGGAGATGAACCAGGGGATGCTTTTGACTGCAAAGTTGAAGGTAGGTTTCTTCTTTTTCTCCCTTTGATTTAATAGTTTTCTTTTCTACTCTGTCTGTATCTACTTGCTAATGTTGAAGGTCTTGTATCTTCCAAACATGACTTTGAATCTTAAGTCATTATCACCAAATAGATGTCATGTCACATAAGCAAGCAGTAATAGCTTGTGCCTAATGTGTCATAGTCATATCTTGGTTGTTAGGCATCATCTAAATGTTTTACATAGCTTATCTCATTTAATCATTAAAAGAGAACATTTTTTTAAAAAAAGTAGGTATGATCATAACCTTCTAGAAATTGAGGTCTTTGTAGGTTAAGGGTTTTACCCATTCTGGTTAAGTGATAAAGTGAGGATTCAATCCTGAGTTATGTCACGTTTCCTTATTTGGAATTGAATGTTGTTTATTTATTTTTGTTCTTTTTAGTTATACATGACACTGGAGTATAACAATATATTCATACAAACATGGAGTACATCTCATTCTAATTAGGATCCCAGTCTTGTGGTTGTACACAATGTCAAGATTCCCTGTGGCGTATTCATATATGTATATAGGAAAGTTGTATCAGAATCATTCCACTATCTTTCCTATTTGCCACTGATATGATTCTATATTTAGAAGACCCAAAAAACTCCACCAGAAAACTTCTAGAACTCATAAGCAAATTCAGCAAAGTAGCAGGATATAAAATTAACACCCATAAATCAATTTCATTCCCATGCACCGATATGAATCAGCTAAAAGAACAATTAGGAAAATGATCCCATTCACAATATCCTCAAAAAAAAAAAAACAAAAAAAACCCAAAACAACAACAACAAAAAAAACCCACAAAGAACAAAAACAAAACCAAACCTGGAAATCAATCTAACAAAAGAGGTGAAAGACCTCTGATGAAAATTATAGAACTCTAAAGAAAGAAATTGAAGAAGATGGAAAGATCTCCCATATTCTTGAATAGGCAGAATTAATATTATCAAATGGCCATGCTACCAAAAGTGCAATACAGATTTAATGCGATTTCTATTGAAATCCCAATGTCATTCTTCATAGAAATCGAAAAAGCAACCATGAAAGTCATTTTGAAAAATAAGAGACCCAGAATAGCCAAAGCTATTGTGAGAAAAGTGAAACTGGAAGTATCACAATATCAGACCTTAAATTATGCTACAGAGCTATCATAACAAGACCAGCATGGTATTGGTACCAAAACAGGCATGGAGACTAATGTAACAGAATAGTTGACACAGAGACAAATCCACATGAATACAGTTACCTAGACAAAGGTGCCATAAAACATACACTGGAGAAAAGACAGTCTCTTTAACAAATGGTTCTGGGAAAACTAGAAATCCATAGGTAGCAGATTGAATGTTGTTTAGATTTTGCTATTCCAGTTATCATAAAAAAATGAAGAACCTCAGCCAGGCACGTGGGTCACACCTGTGATCCCAGTGGCTTGGAAGGCTGAGGCAGTTCAAAGCCAGCCTCAGCAACTTAGGCCCTAAACAACTCAGTGCCACCCTCTCTAAATAAAAACTAAGAAAAGAGGGGAGTGGGGTGGGCAGGTCTGGGAATGTAGCTCAATGGTTAAGCGTCCCTGGGTTCAATCTGTGGTATCAATAAAAAAAAAAAAAAAAAAAAAAAAAAGCAGAACCTTAGCCCATCCTCATTTTGAAAAAATTTACATGTTTATTGAAATGTAGAAGTCTTGGTCTGGAAGGTCCATAGTCCCTTTCAAAATATTTTCTTGATTTGAGTAACTTTTACTGTATTCTAACATTGACAGTAAGGAAAGAGGCAAACTAATATGGGAAAAGAGAAAGAAAAGAGAGAGAGAGAGGTCTTTGGATAAATTCTCCTGCTATTTCTGTTTTCTCAATTGAACAATCCAGCAAATTGCTTTATCCAGAGGCGTTGCCAAAAGCAATGGAAGCAATTGCATGTATGTCTGCCTCTGACAGATACCTTGAATTTTTATTTTAGAGCTTTTTCACAGAAAAACAATCCTCCTTTATAATTATTTTCCTGTTGTCCACTCATCTTATTGGTGGATGTCTCTGGACATTTTTATTTTTATTATACCATTAGATTCTTTCAAACCAGTACAGCTAGAGAGTTCCGTATTCTGGGCAGTTTTTACTGGCAACACTTCTAACACCATATGTGTGGGGTTTTTTTCCCCCCACACCAAGCAAGTCTCCTACTCTCCAGATACCAATGGGGTGTGCTGTAATTCAGTTCCAACACCTATTTCTGGGAGTTAGTATGGACGTCACAAGTGAAGGGCTCAGTCCCTCAAGACTGCCCTCTCCTCAGATGCCCTTGTAGGCTCCAGGTTTTCACCTGTATTTCTGACCAATTGGCTTTAAGGTCAGGGGTTCTCACACCCTCTTCAGTATTTGCTAGAATGATTCATGGAACTCAGAAGCACACTTCACTGACTATCACTAATTTATTATAAAGGATACAACATGAACAGGTTCATAAGGTGAGTTCTGGTAAAGTCCCAAGCACAGGAGCTGTGTCCCCAGTGTTTTGGGATGTGTACCCCTCTGGATGTATGCATATGTTTATCTACTTGGGGGGCTCTCCAACTTGCATTATTTTTTAGTGGGTTCCATTATGTAATGGGTTTGGCTCAATCATTGGCTATTGGTAACTGAACTTAATCTCAACCCACCCCCTACACCCAGAGGTCTGCAGGTGGAGTTGAAAGTTCCAGACCCCTAATTGCATGGTTGATTCCTTTGACCGTCAGCCCCCATTTTTGAAGTTATCTAAGGGCTCACTAAGAATCACCTCATGAACACATTACTAGTATGTGGTTGAAAGGAGCTTGTCATAAATAACAAAAGGCACCTCTGTTGTCTCAATAGCTCAGTAAGTTGTAAGTATTTTAGAAGCTCCTCATCAGGAATAGGACCACAGACCAAATATATGTTTCTTATCATATGACATCTGTGTATACCAATCGTGGAAGGGGTTCCTAGGAAAGTTTAGTTGGATCCTGTTCCAACCCATGGGCAAAACCAGAAATAACTCAACTTCATTGGAGTAACATAATATTATTATGATAAGACCTGATGTTAGTTATTCAAAATAGGATGAGCCTCAGGACCTCAACCTGAGGCTTTTATTTCTCATTTGGAATTAATCTTTGGTGTCACAATGTAAGGTAGGTCGGTTAATTGGTAGTTAGGAATTGGTGTCTAACTATTTTGGACCTTAATTAGTTTAAGGTAAACCAATATACCCCTTTAGCCTATTTAATACATACAATTTACTATCCTATTCTAGGATTTTGTTGTTTTAAATAAACAATTTTATTTTGTTTACTTAATATTTATTATTGGATCTCCTGGTTTCTTACATGGCACTTTAAGTGTTTTTCCACCAGTTGACTGATCGCAGGCTGAAAATCTATAGGAAGACATTCTATATAGGAATTTTTAGTATAGTGAACAATGATGAATTTTCTCAATGAACTCTCCTTGAAAGAGGCTGTTTGGGAAACTTCAGGTATCCTATCCTCTCTGTTCAAAAACAATTCTTACATCTCCTTTGTCTTCTGTAATATGCCCTTCTTTATGTGTGTGTGTGTGTGTGTGTGTGTGTGTTTTGCTGCTTTGAGAAAATATTCATTCAATGTTTAAGGCATTTTTAGAAACCCTAAATTTAAGCTGTGTATGCTCTTTTCATGAAAAAATAACACAAAATCACATCTGTAGTATTTACATTGGTATAACTAAATATAAACATGGCCCACAGATCCAAGTGGTATAAAGATGAGATTGGTCATATTAAAGTGGTGAGATTTGAATCACTCAAGCATTTGCTTTCTATAAAGTACGTTTATTTTTCAAATTGTTAACAAGAATAGATGCTTCATTCATCCGATTTAACCGACTTTTGAAGAACTCTTGAAAAATTATTTGAGGCTCAAAATATTTGAGGAGATGAATAAACCTTTCATGATGTTGCCAAATTAAGATTGTCTGCATTGCAGAGGCACTTGACAAGTTCAACACCATGGCCATCATCGACGGGAAGAAGGAGCACGTGAGTCTGACAGTGGACAATGTCCACCTGGAGTACGGGGTTGTGTACGAGTATGACAGCACAGCTGGGATCAAGTGCAATGTGGTGGAGAAGATGATTGAGCCCAAGGGGTTCTTCAGCCTGACTGCCAAGGTAGGAGTGGACCTGTCACCACCAGGGGTTCCCTTCTAACTAAAACGACCTGATGAAATGCAATGGCTGTACATGCTGTAGCTGCTAGATCCTTCAACATCTTTTTCTTTTTTCTCTAGTATTAAGTATGTGTATGGTCTTACTTTTATTGATCCTTTTGTGTGACAGTTTTAACTTGGATAGAACTCTTGCCCAGCTGATTGGGCAAAGACTTTCGTACATTTAATAGGTTTGCAGCCTCTGTTAATTCAGTATTGTGGATATGTTTCAGATAGTTTTCTTGACAGGTTTTTTTTTAATGCACATTATCCTCTGACCCTAGTCATTGAAGTTCTGAAATATAAGAAATTTCAAATTCTGCAAGTGTCAAAAATTTCAAGAAGCTTAGAGATCAGGTTATGAATAGATCCACAGAAATTTGTACAAGTCTTATTTGGAAAGGACATCACCATATGGTCCTTAGACGAAAACAAGATGAGGGAGGAAGCGAATTTATATCCAAATGGACGAAACATGTGACTCTGAGCTTTCTTTTCATGGTGCTTCTAAAAGTTGAGTCCCTCAGACTCCTTCTGTGACCTCCAGTGTTTGTTTCTGCTTGGCTGTCATTCTGAGAGAATTCAGATACTTCAAGAAAAATGAGATATATTTCTCTTACTTTTATCTTTTCATTTTATTTCTTGTTTTAAATATGTGTAGTTGAGACAGTCACCAGTTATAATATATATTTTTAAAATTTTAGTGGGAGAAAGTAACATGGAGATCTAAGTGATCCATTTTAAAAATAAATATTTTACCTTTTTATTTTATGTTCTGGAAGCCAACTTAAAAAAAATACTACTAATCATTATGAGGCTGTTGTGCCATTGTATGTATCTATTGATATATATTTCCCAGACATAGTTCCTTTGCAACTATGTTATACAGTCAATGGAAACCATGCAAGAGTTTGAAACCACATTATTATAGTTATTTAATCTTATTTTTTATGTACTTCAAGTTTGCAGAATTGCGTGGACTATTCTACATATGATAATTATGTTAGTACTGCAAAAATCATTTCCATTTTACACATGAAGAAAGTCAAAGGAATTAAGGCATTTAGCCTGGAGCATGCTGCCAATGACAAGGCCAACTCTGATTTCTAGACTAATGGTGAAATGAAAAACTCATACTAACAGGGAAGTGGATGGAGGTAGTAAGAGGCTGAAAGAAATAAAACATCAACACATTTTTATGTCTTACACAGTATTATAAAAATATTGGTTAAGGGTAAGGTCAATCCCTATGATCTCTAACAGTCATAAAACACCATGTAATTCTCAATCCATTGGAAATTCTAGTGACCTAAGGTAAACAACACACACACATATACACACACACACAGCCTTACAATTGATTCAAATATTCAAAAAAGTTTGCTAACTGAAAACATTACATGGATGCTTTTACATGATGCTTTTATCATCTAGAGCTTAGACACAGCATAACCATTAATTTATATTTTACCCGGATAACTGTTCATTTATTCATCCCTTCTGCAAGCATTTGTTAACTGCACTGTCTGTGCTGGACTCTCTGTAAGAGGACGCTATTGCTTTTCCTGGCTTTTTTTTTTTTTTTTGTTCTCCCACCCAATTGAGTGGAAAAAATGTTCTGGGTTACTCTGACTAAAAATATAGGAAATATGTTCCCACATCAGATGTCTGATCTGTCCAGCAGGGAGTCTTTGAAGTCCACTTACCTCCCCAAGCAGCCTTTTTATACTTAGCAGAAGGTGTAACCTGAGATACCTAACAGACAAAGCAAATCACCTCTCTCACAGTGCCTCAAAGAACATGGAAATCCTGGGGAGCAGCGAAGAGAAGAGCAATACTGGAAAGTCACCCTGGGGCGTTAACTTATGAAAATTTTATGCGGCTACTTCTGATGTTTGTTTTTTTTCTTATTTTATTTTGTATTGTGTGTTTATTACTAGATTCTTGAAGCCCTGGCTAAAAATGATGATCATTTTGTGCAAAACTGTGCCAGCCTAAATTCTCTAAATGAAGTGATTCCTTCTGACCTTCAGAGTAAATTCAGTGCCATGTGCAGTGAAAAAATTGAGCACATTTGTCAGAGAATTTCCAGTTACAAAAAGGTAAAGATTCTATAACTCTTATATGTAATTAGTACTGAGATTATTATTGAAATGCCAAATTTAAATCGATCCTTGATATTCCTTTTATACATATATTATGTACTACATTTATTGTAATAATGATAACATTTATACAACTGCCCTAGTCTATTGTTTTCTGTTACTATAGCAAAACACCTGAGGCTATAAAGAATAGAAGTTTATTTATTCATGGTTCTGGAGCTTGGGAAGCCCAATATCAAGGTGCTGGCAATTAGTGGGAGCCTTCTCTCTGCATCATAATGTGTTGGAGGGCATCACGTGATGAGATACCCAGCACATTAGTTAGGGTCTGTCTTCCTCTTATAAAGCCACTAATGCCATCATGGAGTCTCCACTTCATGACTTCATTTAATCTTGATTACTTCCCCAAAGTGTACCTCCCAATGCAGTCCACACATGAATTTGGGGATTAAGTTTTCAGCACACGAATTTTGTGGGTCCATATTCAAACCATAGCAATAGTATATTGGAGTATTTTAAAAATGTCTTGTATCCATTACCTCATTTGATCTTTGCCAGCCTATAAGCTATATTATTATCCCACATTTTTGAAAAGATAATATTAGCTGAGGCCTAACTAATTAAATAATTTACCTGTAAAAGATAGAGCTGGGTTTTTTTAAATGCAGATCCTTTAATTCTGATATCAAGATTTTAAATTACGCTATGGTCATTCTTTCCTTTTTCTCCCAACAAAGGAAACGGAAGGCCTCAATCAAAGTATGTGGCTAATGGGCTGCTTTAAATTGATTGATTGGTTTATTTACTTGTCATACATTCTTGGACACCTTCTGTGTGCCAGGCACTTCTTGTCATGAGGAATGTAACCTGGGATGGGACAGACAAGATCGCTCCTCTCATGGTGCTCACATTTGAGTGTGGAAATAGCGAAGAATTAAAAACCCTTGCAAAGGGGTTGAAAAAGCTTGTGAGGAAACCAAAATAGGGAGGTGTAGTAGGTAGTGTCAGGGTGGTACCTAGTCAGGGACACCCTCCTTGTGAAACTCTGGGTGTGCATGACAAGTAGAGCTCTCCATTTGCATTGAAGACGGGAATATTTGGGTGTAAGGAACAGAGGGGACAGAGGCCCCAAAGCAGAAAGAAGGCGGGGGAGGTGGGGGTGGGGGGTGGGGGGGAGTGGCCAGCTCTCCAGTAAGGTCAGAGGCTTTGGCAGGGGCCCGTTAAAAAGAGTTGTAGAAGTGTTGTGCCTTTTGGAACTTTGGAAGGAATTTGGGTTTCATTCTTATATTGATGAAGACCAATGGGAAGGCTTTAAGCAGGGGGATGATTTTATCTACTTGAGGATTTTAAGGAATCATGCTTTTGTAGGGGTGGATTGCAAGGGTGGGAATGGAGAAATTGAGAACAGTTGGAAGCAATTACAGTAGTTCAGTTGAGCAATGATGACAGCAATGAGGGTGGAGGAGACAGAAAATTAGATGGATTTGGGAATATATTTTGGAAATAGAATTAATGGAAATTGACCTCCAAAGCATATCCCATAATAGTTTTTAATTTTTGTGTGTATTTATATCATACAAGACTAATTAATTAAATTTCCCCCTCAAAATGATGTAATTGCTTAAAATTTGGTATGTCTACACTTGTGATTATTACTTATCTAGATATAAATGAATATTATTTAACTATACATGAATTTTATATTGTTGATATTGTAAGTGAAAATAAGTCCATGCGTCTATATGTGGATGAGAATGTGTGTGAATGAATACCCAAAGGACTGTCATTGTTGGCTGCATTGGGTAGAGTGAGACAAGGGGTAGAAGACCGTACTTCCTGTAATATTTGGGTTGTTAAGCATGCATTACTGTCATAATTTTCTAAAAGTCCAGTCGCATGAGAAAGTGATATCGAGATTGCGACCTGCCTGCAGCACCCATTAGCTCTCTTTCCATGACTGCTGAACTCTGGTTCATCTGAGTTGGCAAGGAGTCCCCAAATGGGCAGTATTGGAAGTTGTAGGGAAGAAGATTCTCCTTTTACTTCTCCTTTTCTCTGTAGTCTGTGACAGTACTTTGAAGTAAAACTCAAAAGCTCTCAGCAAATGCAAACTAGTTTTATTCTCCTTTTGATCACATTTTGAAAAAGAGAATCATTCTGCTTCAGAGATGGTTCTGTAAAAGATGTGATGGGGGCTGAGGCAGATTCTGGGAGTCAAACTGGTCCCTTGTGTCTGTGTCATTTTCTTTCTTTTTTTTGATTTTCTTTTTCTCTCCATTCCTTCATATGACAAAGATGCTGGAAGTAGCTTACAGGAACATACATGAAAAGGGTGAGCTGTTAAACACACGCATGCACACACACTCAAAACTTTAGGAACCACTGTAGATTGGGTGGTGAATTGCTTCATCTGCTTCACAGAGGACCAAGATAACACAGGCTTAACCAAGATGGATTGATGATTGATTGATTTTTTTTTTCCCCCCACATAAAAGTCCATCCTGACAGGAGTACAGTGGGGTGGGAACTTGTCAATCTTAGGAATGTTCTGCCATGTATGGTTTTACTTTTCTAGGGATATTGCTATCTTCTGCGAGTTCAAAGCTGCTTTACCACCATGTCTAGGCTGTGAATCTTCAGAAGGGCAAAGAGGAAGTACAGAGTTTGCTTTTGCTGCCTGACCCAGAAATTATCCACATCATTTCTGTTTAACCCTTATTAGTTATTTTTTTGAAAGAGAGACTGGGACGTATTTCCTCAGGCAGACTTTCACTGGGCTCAACTAAAATCTGGGGAGTCTTATTACAGAAAGGAAGAAGAGGAGAATGGGTATTGGAGGAAAATTATTAATATCTACTCCACAGTAAAGCTGTATTAGAATAGATGGTACTGACCAACAGGGGAAAGGGTCCTTAGGTCCCAAGATTCTATTTACGTTCTAAAATTGAATACTGTATTTGGCTTTCTACTTCCTGGTGTTCAAAATGTAAAGGCAAACATCCTGATGTATTTTTGCAGCATCCCTGTGAAATAGACATTTTGCATAAGAAAAGCATAGCTTTTCTTGAGCTAAAAGAAATCTCTCACACAGATATTGTATGGTGCTGCCCATAAGCGTACCATCGTGAAAGAAAGAAGGGCTTCAACAAAAAACATCTGTTTTACATTGCAGATATTTTTAATGCTCTCTTTAATGAAAGCCAATGGCGTAGATGAAAAACCCAGTCTATTCAAAGCAAAACTGTTGTGGGATGGGGCAGGAGGAATAGGAAAATATTAACTAATGTGCACTTTTTTCATTTTTTCTTTTTTTTGGTAGGAAGTGCTGGGGATTGAACCCAGGGCCTTGTGCATGTGAGGCAAGCACTCGACCAACTGAGCTACATCCCCAGCCCCTAATGTGTACTTATCACGTAAAGAGTAGGGCACACGCACAGTTGTTCCAGGATGCCTGCCCTCCCATACTTACAGTCTAATCTAAAGGAAAAGCCAAAGGGACATGAGGAATACAAGTGCCCACCTAACCTGCTAGAAATACCCCTGAATGGCTGAACTTGCTAGCCCCATATAACCCAGTTTACATGGTGCTTCCTAGAGTTATGAGCTCACAATAGTGTGTATGCGTGCGTGTGTGTGCCTGTGCATGTGTGTGTGCATACACACATACATGTGCATGTGTCCTGTGCTTTCCCTCTCTCCCTTTCTTACACAGTTCTGGGGTGGAACCCAGGACTTTGAGCATGCCAGGCAAATGCTGTACTACTGAGCTCCCTCCTTAGATCATTTTATTATTTTGAGACAGGGTCTTGCTAGGTTGCCCAGACTGGCATTGAAATTGCAATCCTCTTGCCTGAGCCTCCCAAGTAACTGGGGTTTTTGTCAGGCTACAACCAGCTACCTAGCATTGCATGAGGTGTTTTCTAGTTTGCTTACATTGTAGAATTTACCAAAACAGTGAAATGAGGTACACATTTCTCATTTCATGGAACGAAGTGCCCGAAGTTCAGGGTGGTTAAGTAACTTGCCCAAGGCACTCAGTTGGCCACAGCAATGGGATTTGAAACTTGCTCCCTTTTATACTAACACTGGTTGTTATTCGTTTACCTGCATTTGACTTTGTGTTACACAGCTCAGTGCGGTTCAGACTGGAAAAGCAATAGGATTCCAGTAAAGAAAAAGTCATTGTGGATTGAATAGTCGCCAAATGGTAGGTCCTGTAAGTTGGGATGATTTGTCAGAGTGAGGGGAAAGATGGCATAAAAAGTGACCTAAGTTCAGGCAGAGATACAGAAATGAGACTGCTCTTAAGGATAAAGAATCGGCATACTCCCTGGACTAGAAATGAAAATTTGAGTGTGGATGTAATTTAAAAAAAAAAAACCCGACAAAATTAGACTTTTCCAGTGATATTTTGGAATAGCATAAGAATCAGATTTGTTAGTAAGAAAATCACTTTGGCAATTGCATAAGGTATTGGTGGGAGAAGAGCCACAGCAGGGAGGTTGGTAAGTGGTCTTTACCTGTAGAAGTGCGAGTTGATGGTGGTGTGGACCCTGTATCAGTATTGGAGATGAAGAGGATCATTCCAAGATACGTGTAGGGGGCAAAAACTGGGCAGATCTGCTGAAGTGGTTATAGCAGATGAAGACGCTGTCATTTCTTGGTTTCTAACGAAAACATGGCTTATTAGAAACTGAGGTGTGCATGTGCAGGAGATGAAAAGAATATAGTTTAGGGTTTCACCCAAATGTTGGGGATTCTCAAAATCATCATCTTGGTGAGTGAGAAATACGTTCTACTTAATTGTTCATAACTAGCATCCTGCAAGCTTTTAAGTTAGAAATGGACAGGCGAATGATTTCATTTATGGACAATGATTTTATTTTATTTTTTGTGCCAAGGAACACTCTTCCACTGAGCTACACCCCTAGAACCACAGGAATTGATTTTAGATAACAAAAAATAATATCATTGAGTTATAGAGAGCCCTTTTCTGCCCTTGATCGTTCTCTGAGTCTCAGAACATCTGTGTGTACTGACATACCATAATGCTTCTTCCTCAAGAAGGTGACATTTGCCTCCGGTCACATAGCTGGCAAGTAGCAGACCTATGGAATGCAGCCTCACTTATTTTTACGTTTCATTCATAAATAAAAAGAAAAGTCTGGTCAGAAACATCAGGGCCGAAATGCTTTAAAAGTTAATCTTATCATCATCTCACTTGGCCTTAAATATTCTTAAAATAATTGGTCATCTTCTTTCTAGAGATGCCAAGTTAGCAAGAAGTATTAAAAGGATCTTTTCACTTTCAGTGAAATGAAGATGCCTAAGACAAAGACTCCTAATAGGTTATATGAGGTTAGCTTCAGTTACATAGCAAATGCATGTCAGCCAAAAACACGTGTGAATATAGACTTTAAAATTTTTTCTCATATTTATTCAAAAACTATATTAGCAACATATTTTTCTTGCAGATGAAAGTTTCAACACTCCTTTTTTGTGAAAGAAAATGTATCCATAGAAACTAAAATCTTAACGAGTCAGGCTTTATTTTATTTTGACTGTAGAAGTTTTAGATTTTAAAAATAGTAACCAGCTGATTTCTGTCATTTCTATAGCCAGGATATAATAATAGATTTCCTGTTCACAGACATCTTATGATAAGGTTGGCCCGTATTGAAGGCTGTACTGAATCTTGAGCAGGCATTCATTCTCTGTGGAACAGGGTGTGTGGACAGCTCAGATGTAAATCTATTCCCTGTTTTGAGAAACATTTGCCTTGTAAATTGTCTGGGAAACTCTTCTTAATTTTAGAGTCATTCTTCTACGTAATACCAATTCCATAAATGGACTTTTCCCCAGTATTGGGGATACTTTCTTGATATGCATTCAGAAGATAGTTTCTGTTTGTACAGAAATAGTGTAAGTAGGAATTAGAAGTCTTAACTTTGAACATTCCAGGTACTTATCTAATGCTAACTCAGACTCCTCAAACTGCTAGATGGATTTGGAAACTTATATGTAAAGTTCTTCCCCGTGTCCCCTTACAAGACAGTCTAATACAGAACTTTTGTATCTCCGTGCCTAAGGAATTTTACACTTCATTGAAATGGGAGACTATCTGCACAGTAATAGCTTACTTACTTTGTATTACTTCTGATTTTTAGCCAAGTGACTATCATGGAGTTTAAATATGTGGCCATGGTCAATAATTAATGAATTAGCTACCAATGCATTCAAAACTTGAAGTTCCCACTGTAAAAACTGTTTTTTCCCATCAATATACAAATGTGCTGTCATAATCACCTTTATTAGAAATAAATGCTTCCCTTGCCTCTTACACTCCTCTCTACCTCCTGTTCCAATTCTTTGATCTTCCTGAAAAGAGCTTTCCATAGCCCTGTCTGTACCTGTTGTCTCACCTGCTCATTCCCCTTAGCATGCTCCAGGTGGATTCTGGAACCCACCACATGACTGAAATGGCTCTATTTTGCCACAGCCTGTTAATTTCCTGATTGAACTCCTTGTCTTAGTTGACCTGATGCAGTTGACTTCGAGCTTCTCATTAGCATTCTCTGTGACACCCTGGAGGCCTGACTTCTGTCCTTTCTTCTTGTTGGTGGCTCATTCAAAGTGTTCTATGCTGATTTTCTTCCTGACCTCTTCATTGACCATGCCTCAGGAGATCTCAGCCCCCTTGACTTCTCCGTCTGACCTCCATGGATCTCACAGACTTTGTGTGTTTGACATCAGCTCCTGATCCCAGCCTTCTGCACACCCATCCTTCTGTTGATTTATCTTCTTCACCCCCTTTCTCTCAACTCTGTTTTGGCTCTATCTTCAGAATAGGCAGGCTTTCCTTACTGCCTCTATCACTGATGGCCCCTCGGTGAGCCACTGCCATCTCTCTCCTGTAGGTGGTCCTTCTTCTGCCCCCTGTGCTCAGCCAGTTTTTTTCTCAAGGGCTTTGCATTTCCATCCTGGTAAGAGCCACATTATTACGTGTCTTTCCTCTTGTCGAATGCAACTTTTCAGAAGTCAGGAATCTTTGTTTCATTCACTGATGTTCCCCCACATGCCTAGGACAGTGCCTGGTACCCAGAGACCCCTTATGATCTCTAATGGTCCCTCAGTATTCGGGGTTCTACACCCACAGATTGAACTACCCACAGATCAAAAATATTCAAAAAACATTAAAAATAATACAAAGAATAATGCTGTATAACAACTATGTACATGGAATTCACATTGTATTAGTTATTATTAGTCATCTAGAGACGATACAGGAGAAGGTGCAATAGGTTATACAAAGTACTATGACATTTTGTATAAGGAATTTGAGTATCCATGGTTTTTGATGTCCCTGGGAAATCCTAGAACTAATTTCCTGCAGATACTGAGGAACACATGTAATTGTTGAATGAATAAAAGTGGTAGTAAGTTCAGGCTATGCTATTCCATAATGATTCTAATGTGAACATATATTTACAGGATGTTATTTTTTTATACTTATCCTTTAATTTAACCTAGAAGAGGTAGAGAATGATCCTTGTAGTCTTTGTTTTTATTCTTTTTAATGACAGAATTATTACTCTAGTAGTATAATAAGTAGATAGAATCATGGTTATAGTTTTTAAGCAAGAAGGGAACATAGAGATTATATAATTCATATCCCTTATTTTGCTACACATGATGAAAAGACCCTGATTTGTTTGATGTCTTATTAGCTACCGTGACAGCTGCTAGGAACACACAGGAAGCTCACGACTTGTAGTCCTCTGCTTCTCAGACTACAGTTCAGTTCAACTCTGTGAGATACCTATCAATGGTGTGCAAGATGGATATAGTCATTACCGTCTTGGAGTTTACCATCTGCTGCCTGAGCTGGAGATGAGCAATTATTTACAATTATAAAGAGAGTGACAGTGTGCTACAACCTAGCATGTAGCCAGGAAAAGGGAACATAGCCCGGGACTCAGGGAAGCCCTCTTGATGATTTGCTAGAATCCGAAGATGCATAAGAAAAAGTTTGGCCATGAGAGAAGAAGAAAATTCTAGGTACATTGACCAACCTATAAATAAAGGCTCAGAGTGAGTAAGATTGTGTATGAAAGGAACCATGTGCAAAACCCTGAGGGAACTTAGAGGACAAGGGAGGAGAGCTTTGGATAGATAACAAGGTGTGTAAGAACTGGATTTCGGGAAGCTTTATAGACCATGGCAAGGAGTAGCTAGACTTGAATGGTAGACTGTTGTAAGGTTTGAAGCAGTGGAGTAGATACCCTTGGAAGTCATACATCATTTTAGTATCAGTTTATTGTCAATGGCATAGAAGCAGAGTGAACACTGATCTGCAAGTTGATTGTGACCCCCAAACACATCAGGGATTAGCAGGAGACATGGGCAGTACAGTTGTCTGGCCATTCTGGTCAACACCACAGTACTTTGCTGTCTGGCCTGGACTTCTGCTTTGAATTGGCTTTCTGATGATACTTGAAAAAATCCCATCTTCTTTCACCCTGGACCTGATAGCTACCCTGTTTTTTAAATCTTATTTCTTGCCTCTTGGTGCCCTAGGATGCCAGCTTCTCTATTACACTCTCTCACTTTCTGTCAGCCAGTGGAATAGAGTCCTAATAAGTTGTGTTGGTCACTGAGGTTCATTTCTTTTAGCACATAGCTTGCAGTCAGGAGTTTCAAAGGAATCCTGCATTTGCTGTCCATATTGCTTTGCCTCATTAAAAATGTTTGGATTTTGAAAGAGCAGTTTAATTTCCAACAACTTAGAATTTATGTCACTCGTTCCAGTTGACATGATTTAATTTTCTTTTGATTTTTTTTTTTTTTGTTTTCGATGACACAGGTGAAATGTTTTGAGTTATTACTACTGTGTGTTCAGCTGCTTTTTATTTCTTCTGTAATTTACAGTTCTCTCGTGTGCTGAGGAATCGAGCTTGGCCCACCTTTAAACAAGCCAAATCTAAGATCTCCCCACTGCACAGCAGTGATTTCTGCCCTACCAACTGCCATGTCAATGTGATGGAAGTTTCTTATCCCAAAACATCAACCTCTCTGGGGAGTGCCTTTGGTGTTCAGCTGGATAGTAGGAAGCATAATTCTCAGGATAAAGAAAGTAAATCTTCTGAGCAAGGTATGTTGGCTTTTGAAATTTTATTACACATGAACATTTAGGCAATTATAAGCATTGCTGCATTTTATAATATGTTAGATTGCTGGTATGCAAGTAATCCTGCCTGTTTAAAAAAAAAAAAGAATTCTCACGTGGATAGTTATATCCATGCATAAGTGTACACAGAGTGAAACTGGAGTTATGCATTAGCCTGGTCTTCTCTTTGCATACCATGAAAAATTATTATTTTTCTTTCAAGAAAGACAGGATGATTTAAAATTAAAACTCCTCATGTCTATGATAAGCATAGCTCATCTTGAGTGTGAAAGCCACTAATCTGAAATGGCTTTATAACTTTGGGGAAAATCCCAGAGGAACTGGTTAGAAATGCATTAATGCCAATCTGCATCATTGTAGTGGGATGAGGGATTGGACTATTTGTAGCTTTTAATTACTGCTCCCCACAAGATTTAATTCCTCAATTAAATTCAATGTTGGATTGGGATTTTGTTTTATACCAGCCTGAACCTCTAAAATGTATTGGACTGGATAGTCATACATTTAAGGTAATAAATATTACTGTGGAATGATTTTGATTCCTCAGGGAAACTGAGCCCGATGGTGTACATTCAGCACACCATTACGACCATGGCAGCCCCTTCAGGACTATCTTTGGGACAGCAGGATGGCCATGGCCTTCGGTATTTGTTGAAAGAAGAAGACTTAGAAACTCAAGATATCTATCAGAAACTTCTGGGCAAAATCCAGACTGCACTGAGAGAAGTGGAGATGTGTGTTTGTCAAATAGATGAGTAAGTTTTTTATATTATAAAGTTTGCCTAATAAACAATCAGAGAAAGTGGGACTTTTGAAAAATTTGTCCATTCTTTAGATTTAGGTAATGTAGGAAATTTGTGCTGATCATGCAGTTCCTCTTCATTTTCCAGTATTCCATGGATAGATAGAAATTTTAAGTAGACATTTAATACCAGGGAAGAGAATGACAAAATTCTATCTTATAGAGGAAAACTAAGTCTCAGTGTGAAAATATGATGTGAATAATATGTTTGAAACTGTAACAGCTGTGTATGAGGATTTTCTTGATATCTTTTGCAGTTCAAATTCCTGATATTTGATGTATGTACACTGGAGATATTTATGAAAGATGCAAAATATAATGAATATTTTAACTAGTTTAAACATAGTTTTAACATAGTTAAAATATTTATATTTAACTAATAATATTATTATTATTTATATAATATTTATTATTTAACATAGTTAAAATATTTAACATAGTTGTTAAATGAGAAAATATGGAAAATGTACCTCCAGGACCAACACTTCTTTTATTTTCTGTTTCACATACTGGCCTATAAATAATAGCCCAAATTGCCTGGCCAGGAAGCAGTTAATGAGGAGTTTTCTATCTACGTCAATCCTAATTCTTACTTAAGAATTTGACAGTTGGTAGCTGGGCACTGTGGCTCATGCCTGTGATCCCAGAAGCTTGGGAGGCTAAGGCAGGAGGATTACACATTGGAGGCCAACCTCAGCAACAAGCAAGGCTCTAAACAACTTTGCAAGACCCTGTCTCTCAATAAAATTAAAAAAAAATAAAAGAGCTGGAGATATATAGCTTAGTGGTACCGATCCCCACTCCCCAATCTGGGTTTAATTCCTGGCAGCACACACACAAAAAAATCTGCAAATTGTCTACACTCTTTGGGACTGTAGGATGACTTGTCATGTTTTTTTCTGTGATTATGCTTCATTAGTCAAGGCAGTTCAGTATGGTCAGAGTAGCATGGCTTTGGGCAGAGGTCAGTTCCTTATATATTGAAGTAGATAATAATGAATTTCAAGTTTCTGGTGACAGTTATAGAAAATAACATAGAAAGCAGTCAGCATAGTACTGAATATCATGCTTTCTCACTCATTCAATAGATGGAAATCTTTGAGTACCTCCCAAATTGGCATATTTTGAGAACAGTTATAAACGACATCATCTTGTTTGCATTTTATCTTTATGAAGTTGTTGATTTAATTTGCCGGCAGATGTGTATATGTTTCCTTCATGCACTCATATCATCCCATACCTTTATGGATAATTCATTTTAGACAAAGTGTTTAGAACTTATTGCATGCTTTTGTAGTAATCAGGCATTATACTAGTGAAGTCTTAATTGACATGATCTCTTATTTTACATATCTTTGAAATTTGGAGATCAAAATAGATACATTATATTTTTAAATTACCTTCAAATTACTATTCTTTTTTCCTGAAGTTTTAGGGGTGATTTAAAATTAAAATCCTATTTTTCTATGTCTAATGAACTAGCTTTTTAAAATGATAACATTTCTATATTAAACTGTAACTTCCCTGCTTATAGATGAATTAAACCACCTGAAGTTGCTAAGAAAACTATTTTTAAGCAATTGCATTATATTTTTGAATTGCCTTGAAACATGGTAACAGAAGTTTATAATTTAGGATGTCATACTTTGCTTAATCTAATAAATGTGATTTTATTACGTATTGTGTTCTACTTTAGATACCAGTTCTTTTCCCTTTGAGGTATTTAGAAGATATGTAAAAGAAGCATTTTTATCAATGAGGCAATAAATAATGGTATTGAATCATTGATGCCAACTCTCTAAGGAATTTTATGGGAATATCTGGCTCAATCTCATACTTCTGAATGACCCGTTTGTTGGTGGCAGGATTATTGATGTGCCTCAGCTGAAACTGCTTGAGAAACTAAGCCTCTAATGTTCTGACTGGCAGGCAGTGTCTGGCAATCATCAGACTGTCTTTGTTAATTGATTAACTTTTTTTTTTTTTTTTTAAGAAGTAGGTACTGTCAATACATTTTCAAGAAAAATGTTGGAGCCAAAGAGGTTCCTTTACTTGATCTGAAATGTTTATATTTAAAGCATTAGCTGTTGAAAGGCATTGGGTATTTTTATTAGCTAAAACTACTTAAAATGATTAATTATTCCTCTCGTTTCCCCCATTCTAAAAGCTTTTACCCAGATCTGTATGTTTATCAGAAAAGTGACATGACATGAGCCAGTGATCGGTGCAGCTAGCCTGGTCTTCTCTTTGCATACCATGTAATTTAATTCTAAATATAAACATGTTCCACACAATTCAATCTGCAATATAATCACTTTAAAACAGTACAGTGTCCAAGTGCCTGGATTCCCTGTTGCCCTTAGTATTCAGAGATGCTACATTGCATTTGAGCTTAACAATTTATTTAAAAGCTAGTTAACAAGCAATTTTCTTGCCATATAGTAATTATTCTTGGTCAGGGTGGAAAAGCAAATCTCAGATGCTTTGCCAAGTTTTAAAAGAAATTGCCTCTTAAGAAGTTGCTTATTCCTCTGAAGGGCTGGTGTTGAGCTTGTCTTATCATGAAATCTAGACACCCTGCCACTTGAAAACACTTCTAGAAGTAAAATTTTCTTTAATACATAGGCATTTTGCTAAATCTTCCTACTTAACTTCAGATCCTAAGATAGAGTTAGAGATGAATTTGCTATCTAGTAACACAAGATAAGGTGATGTGATGAATTTAATCAAAGCTGTATGATTGCTCGTTCACTTTGGGACACTAAGTACTTTTGTCCTTGAATGGGCTCTTCCCAGTTAATGACACTTAGATTTGAAATATGTAAAACCAAAAAATAATTTATGAATAGCCCCCATTCTATTTTAAATTAGAGGATTTGTGTGTTCTTCCAGGGAGGAAACAAACAGAACATTGGGGAATAGAAAAGTTAGAAAATTTGGGAACAGATTTCATTTTGCAGATGCCCCAAGATTAAGACATGAGTTGATTGCATTATAGGACAGTTAGTGACCTGGGGGTGGGGGATGGTCACAGATGGAAAGGCTAGTGGAATTATCCTTGGCATTTCCTCAAGCCTTTTGTTGAAAAAATGTACAAATAGAAGCATAGATTCATAAAAACCAGCATCTATGATAGGTACTCTGTGCCAGGCAGGGTTATGCTGTTCTATACCCTAATTTCATTCTCACAGTTCCTCTCTGCTTTGTATTATGAAACCCTGGGATGTATCACAGACACTTGAAGCTTAACTTTGTTTCCAAAACTGAATTACGATTTCCTTATCCTTAAACCTATTTTGACCCTTCTCTACCCTGGGCTTCCCCTTCTCAGTAGATGATTCCCTATCTCTTCAGTTCCTCAAGCCAGAACCTAAGAGTCATCTTTGGTTCTTCTTTTGCCTTCCCCCAGCTCTGATTCTGCACCAGGTGCTGTCAGTTATACCTCTGAATGCATTCACATCTGTCCCTGTAGATTGAGTTAGCATCCTCTCTCACTAGCACCACCGGAGGAGTTTCCACTCTGTGATTTGCTCTGATACGTTCTATATTCAGCAGGCCCGAGGGACCTGGAAAGGTAAATTGTGTAGTCCGCTGCCTAAAACCATGAAACCACATTATGCTACAGTGAAGCTAGGGCTGTTCCTTGGTATTCACAGGAGATAGCTTTGAGGATCCCCTGCAGGTACCAAAATCCCAGGATGTTCAAATCCCTTATATCAAATTGTTTATTATTGGTATATAACCTGTGTCAAACCTCCTGTATACTTTAAACCATCTCTAGATTATTTATAATACCTAGACATTATAAATATTATGTAAATAATTGATACATTGTATCATGTAGGGGATAATGGCAAGAAAAAATTGTGCATGTTCAGTACAGGTAGTTTTTTTTTCTGAATATTTTTGATGTGTGGTTGGTTAATCTATGGATGCAGAATCTATGTGATATGAATGTGTTATTGGGGCCTGCAGTTTCCTACATGATCTGCCCCTGTCTTCTGCCTCTCCAAACTCAACTCACTGAGCTGCAGCTTCAGTAGACACTTTCTGTTACCAGAACTCTGACCCACTTCAAGGTGCTCTGCCTGGTGGGCACTACCTCCCAGGTCTGCATGTCTGAATTCCTGAGTGCTCAAGAGTCAGACTGATGGCAGACCCATTTAGAGGTTTGCCTGTCCTCCAATTAAAGTAGATACTCCTCTGTCCCTGTTACTTAGACCTCTCTTCTCTGTACATCTCTGTGTTACACTGGCTTTTCACCCCCTTTATCATTCACAACAGAGGTTTCTTTCTCACTCACTCTGAGTCCACCTTGGCCCACAAGGTCTCTGTTCCACATTGTGCTTCCGCAGAGTCAAAGACAAGTGCCCCATCAGATGGAATGTTTCTGTCAATGGCAGGAGAAGGAAATGAGACAAACTGTGTACTGGTGTGTATAGAGGCTTCTACAAGTGATCCCATTCACAACCACTCACATTATTTTGGCTAAAGCAAGTCTCATGGCCAAGCCCATCCTCAGAGGGCTAAGGGAGCACCTCCCAATCATGTGATCATACTAATGACCCTTCTACTCCCTCTAGAGCACCTAAGGCATATGCAGGGAGAGAAGGTTGTGCTTTATTTGCAAAGCATGTGCAACAGTGGATCTGTCCCACCCCACCTCTGAAATGAAATGACAATAATGTTACCTGCTTCATAAGGTAGTTTTAGGATTAAATCAATTAATACCTGTTAAAAATCATAGCGATGGACATAAAGAGCATAACAAATGTTACTTGTGGTGAGGATGAGGATTATATTTTAAAAGCACGAGTAGATGAAATCCACTGTGCACAGAAATCTTTATCAGTGACATTAGGAGGTGACTGATATGGAATGAAATGCTGCCCAGAATTTTAATTAATGGACCTTTAGTAAATAGCTTAATATTATATATGAGCAAAAGCAAAGCAAAATATTTTTGCATGCACAAATGAGTACTATAGTCTGATACCTTATTGTTGCTTTTCAGAATCTGGAAATTTTATGTGAGAACATGGTGTTGAGAACAGGTTTTCCTATCATTTATTTTTAAGCTTAAACACTTGTTCCCATAGGGTCAGTGCAAGCGTGATTGCAACTGTTTGAAATGAAAAATAAATATGTGAAAATAATTCTCATTACTTTCAGAAAATATTTTATGCTTAGCTCCATGACTTCTAATTTAAAATATACATAAGCACAGAGGGCTGTCTGCAAAATGAGAACTCCTGCATATCTTTCCTCTTTGATATTCAGAGTTCATCTGTCTGTATAGTGTGGTGCTTGGGTAATTGGAGTTACTCTAATGTTTTAATCTTTGAGGTAGAAGAAGTGAATAAATATACAATCTGTCTTACAAGACATTAAAAGTATATTTCCAAATAGAGAAACTGTTTAAAATAATTCATAACTTTCAGTTATTGAAAATGCTCACAGAGCCTTGAGCTATGTAACAGGGCTCCTTCAACCACCACTGATGTCTAAAACCTATAAAATGCTAAAATAGTATTCAAAGATCATTTCACAGTGACACTGTCCTCAGCTATACTATTTGAAATTGTAGCTCGGTGTTTTCTTTGTTCTTTTCCTTAACATTTGTCACTCTTTGTTATGCTGTAAAGTTTACTTGTTCACTGTTGATCTTCTTCCAGGGAATTTTACACTCTGAAGAAGGCAGGGACTTTTGTGGTTTGTACACAGCTGTATCTACACCACTACAAATAACACCTGGTGCAACAAGTGTGCTTAATTAGTGAGACCTCTCAACAAGGATTTCACTCCACACACAGCTTTGGGTTTGATGTTAGGGAATATGTGTAAGAGGTAGAAAGCTACCAAATAATAAAATGAACATTTTCATTGTTATGAAAAAATAAATGTCAAGACACGTGCTATTGGTTGGAACTCAATGTCATAAGCATGTAGTATGAGCTTGTTCTGGCTTGAAAGCCAGCCATGGGATCTTGCTTTAGATGTGGTTTAGTTAATTGAGTGAGTTTTATAGCATTCTGTTGGATAATAAAACCCAATTACACCTTTGCTTGATTTTGAGTTAGTTCTAATGGAAGCATTCCACGGCCAAGCATCTGGGCCTTAGAGTGGTGAATCCAGCAGGTCGCAGTCTTCCCCAGGCTTCACACCACTCCATTTCCATACGGTGCTCCAGCCTTGAGCCAAGAGGAAGAGGTCCTCTTTTGGGCCAATTTGTGATATTTCATTCTGGCCACATTGCAGATGAGACTAGAGTAGTCCCTGTTTCTTCCTGTAGTCACATTGATGTGACTCTGTTTGGCGACTTATAATCACTAAAGTCAGACTCCTGCTTGTCCGAGTAGCCAGCGAGAAGCCATTGACAACAGGATATTGTCCCTGTCAAATAGAACAGACCTGGGAGAAACTCCTGGTGGGAATTGGCAGGTAGGTGGGTTTTTACTATTTGAGTGTGAGCTAGTGAGGATAATAAAGCACATTTAGTGTTTGGGTTTAATATTTAGTAAGCACTTTAAATTTTACCAGGTATTTTCACGTGGTGGTGATAGCAGTAATGGTGAGACGAGAGGAGATGGCTATTGTGCACCAGGAATATGTGGCTCTCATTTCCTTCCATAGTACCATGTGGCCTAGTTATTCTAATCATCCTGCTTGTGAAAGTG